TATTTTCCCTTGACTGAAAGGAGAATCATACGAAACAAAATCAATTTAAGTGCTTGCACATGTACGTGATGTGTGCCCATATATTTGTGACGATTTTGAGCAGCTATTTGAAAAGAGGTTTTTACATGTTGGCGGTTCAGTCAATTAGATGATTTTTGTTATCTGTATGTCATCCGATCAGATATTTTCATCATTCATTGCTAGATTCCAAATAAAAGATGAGTTGTTATCTTTTGAATAAAGTTTGATAGGAATAAGATAGAGACTTGTGGTTTTCACCACTCAAAAGAACAGCCTTCAGACAACAATTCTTTATTAGGTTTAAGTTGTCAATAAGACATATAGGCATTAGACATTACTCCGACTTTTCTGAATCCATGTAATTTTTAGAAACTTCATTGAATTATTTTGCGTATAAGTTAATTGGAAAGCTGAAGGTATCATTTATTGAACAAAGAAAGCTGTGCTCAGTGAAAAATTTTACCAGTTAAAATTTATATTTTGTTTCGAAATTGTCGTGGTGAAAATCCTCATGTACTTCACTTCGGCCCCATTTGATCGATTTTTTGACACTATTGTACTGTTTTGTAAGCGGAAAGATGAAATAAAACTAAATAGAGCCCTTTCATATGCAAAAAAAGACAGAAAAAAATCAATTAAAATAAGACGTTTCTGTCCTTTTTTTACATTGTAATTATCTGTTTCAATTATGCCCTACTTAGTTTGTCGATTTTACTCTCTTATTCCCTGTTGATTTGTTTCAATGCATTATTACTTGTTACTCTGTTACACGCTATGATTACCTGTTAATCAATTTTAAACTGTTATTAATTATTAATCGATTTTAATCACATACATGGGAGATAAGCGCTTTTCACGATACTCGAACCCGAAACTCTAATTTTGCATATTTCTTTTTTGAATTGTTCTTGCTTATAAACCATGAAGTTGTCGTCAACCTAAAGTCTTGCAATGAAGTAAATTTGGAATCACTATATAATTGGTATCTTCACAGTTTGTACTCATCTCATGTATACCTCCTACTTACGAAAGTAATCAGTTTTACTTCATTACTACTTCCTGAAATCGATTAAGCATGAATCTTGTTATAGATGAACTTATTATTGGTTAAGACCAATTTTAACCGAATTATTTAATCTAAATTATCTTTTGGAAAAAGCAGTTGTATTGGTGATAAGCATGTATATCGTACTTGTTATAGAACTTCTGTCCTAAAAATATTACATGACATTTTCATCTAACATAGTTATACTAGCAGTTAATACTCTAAACAAAGTGCCTCGTATTAGTACAAATTATTTGGTTCTAATTATATATATCTTTCTGCTATTTCCCAACGCCTTCACAATAGATTCAAGAGATTCAAATCGATTAAAGATTCAAATCAAATTATGACTCAGATAATCAAGAATAATCGGAGTAGTAGATTTTTTTTTATTGATTTTAATTGAATTATCCTATAAAATGAGATCTGTAAACCGGTAGTCAAAAATAATCTTGACTGTCCTAGATATATTTTTTCATTGGACAGGTTTCTATCTTGTATCGTTTAGATAGAGAATCGACTTTACCAGAAGTAAATTGAACAGCCTTAGAACACAATATTATTTTTCTTAAAGAATCAAACATATATGAAAAAACGCATTGTTAAATCAGGCTGAACTTCACCGTATATAATTTTAACTGTAGGAAAAATATATTTATGGTGCATTCAACGAGTACAATATTTTAGTAGAGACGATAAATTGTGACAATGTTGACATTTTATGATAATCATGCCGTCCTGTTAGTGACAGTCACCTGTAACCAAATGACAAAAATATGCCAACTATCGACATCATCATTGCATCTATGATGAATCATTTGCAATTTGTAAAAAAAGGAACAGAGTATCCTGTATCTTCAGAATGCAAAGAAACGGAACTTAATGGCCATGATGTTGTATCAATACGAAACTTGAACACTGAAGAAACGTATATATATATTAAAAAGTTTCGTATGACTCGAACGAACAAACAACGATTAAGCATAAATATACTGAGAATAAATATGGATTGATGTTATTTCACCTCTTTTAAGGAGATATGATGGAGACCCACGAGATAATTCACATCTCTCTAACTTTAAAAGTCGTCATTAACAGAATAGCATGTTTCTCGTAAAAGTACAACTTTGTCACAATTTATCGTCTCTACTAGAATATTGCACTCTGTTATTCCATCAGAAATATAAATGTTTGGCAGGTAAAATTATATACGGTGATGTTCAGCCTAATAAAAATGTAATTTTTTCATATATTTGTTTTACTTGAAGGAGCATGATATTGTGTCCAAGGGCCAACTGATTACGCCGGTGAGACTGATACCATATCTAAGTCATGCAAGATGAAAACCTGCGGTTTGAGTGATTTCATAGAGAACACTTTAGACTTTTTAACTAACTTATAAACAAAAATATTCAATGTAAGTTCTAAAAATGACATGAATTTAGAAAAATCGGATATAATGTTTGATACCTATATATGTCTTATTGTTTCTGTCAAAATTTATTTAAGAAATGGCAACTCGCCATTTATTTCGAATTGGACAACAATTTTACTTGGAAGTAGTATGAATAAGTTATGAAATGTTATTAATACTCGAATATCGTCGAGTCGATCTTTGTATACATTGGTTTAGGATTATTTCAATGATATCATATTGCTTCTGAGAACACAATCGTGGTGGTGCTACAAATGTGTTACTGATGGCTGAGCGCCTTTAGAAAATATTTTTAGCCTATACTAATATTTTTTTGATTTTTCTATATGTCTGACATGTTCCTGGATCAAGATATGAAAACTTTTATATAGTATCTGCTTGTGAAGGAGAAATAATTAAGTTGAAGAAATAAGCACACCAAGTAAGCAAAACGTGTGTTTGAAAACTTACTATATTTTTCTAGTTTTGACGAAATAAAAAGTACCCTGAGTGCTTTAATAAATGCCATCAAAAGTATTTTTGTGCGCTTGACGATTTACTAATATTCAAGTCGACACCACAAGGAAAGGTATCTGATCAAAATTATCCTCATTTTCGCGGGCAATGAATAGCTAATACGATCTTTATTCGAAATGAGACTTTTACAAAATATAAAAAAGAAATAAAAATCGTGACGAACTCAATGTAATGTTTTTTTCAGACATGTTGACGCCACAGCTTACGAGAAATTCTCTTCAGTTGCCCCTTTCTGATTTCAATGATTTTTTTTTGTCTATAGATACCACATAGCGTTCTAATAAAAATCCTAAAAGGATTTGAATTCCTATTGAGATTTAACTATTCTATTAAATTTTTAATATATCATGTTCTAGAGATCTCAGGTTTTCGCAAAACTCGTATTTTCACATTTCGATCTTGACTGTTGCTCATATAGAGAACTCAACTGACTAGCTTCCATAAAATATTCAGAAATTTTGAACAAAGTTTCTTCAAGATATGCAGCTTTCAAAAAAAAATACATGCTGTGGACACTATTCATGGAAAAGAGTTTTGTACCTTAAAAATCTCATATGTCGAAAATACTTTGTTGAAAACTTGAGAATTTTTTTATGGAAGCTACTCTAGCTGGCTTTTCTATCTGCACAAAGATTCAGATCAAAAATTGAAAAAAGAAGGTTTCCAAAAAGCTGAGATCTCTAGAAAAAATTGACATATTTAAAATTCGATACCACAGTCAAATATCAATAAAAATCCAAAGTCCTTTAAAGTTCTATGAAGTCACTATGCCGTATCTATCAGAGCTGTGTACATGGCAGGATGTTTTTTTGTCCTGTCCGGTTCTACTTGTTTTGTATATTTTCTTTTTCTTTGCATAATTTTTTTTTATCAAGTGCTTTTCATTATTGCATTTTTTTTTTATTAATATCATTCACTATACGTGAACATAATGATGATAAACCCCCACAAGTTCATATTTTTTTATATTTATTTCCTGTAAGGAATGTGTCATTAACAAAATTAAATCAAGATATTTTTATACTTTCTCATATTTATAATATTAGTCATTATTGAATACTTTAGCTGCTGCGTTTTAAAAATGATATGAAATAAATTAGGTTTAAGATAACTAATGAACTAATATGCACTTTGGTGACAAAAAGTCAAAATAAGAAATCTTACTGTCGTGTCGCTCGCCAAGACGCAACAAAGCAGCAGGACAGGACAGAAAAAAATTATCCTATGGCCAACTATGATATCATTTAAAGGCAAAAAATCATTGAAGTCAGTAAGGAACAAGTGAAGAGATTTGTTTACTAGCTAACTGATATAGTTGCTAGTATCGCACATGTAGAGGTGGATATAAATATGTAACTAGACTGGTAATAGCTGCAGCGTCGATGGATCATCTAGTCGTCACTATCAATAATTATTTACTTAGTTTTTCTGCGAGAATGTTTCAACAAAGAAAAATTTGCGTTATTTTTAACAATGTTGTAAAAAGAGAGAGACTGAGTCCATTCAACGAAAGCATTATTTTGTGCCATAGCTTGCACAAACTAATTTATCTGATGGATATAATTTAAAAGTAGAAAAAAGCAGCATGTGTAATCGTTCAATATTAGTAGTTGAACAAGTTCGATGATCTGTTTCATTGATTTATAAGGCATCAAGTAATTTAATAACCAAAGAGACTATTTCTTGATTTTCACTGAGCGACAATATCAAAAGATGATACATTCGAGACTTTCATTCAGTTTATATGATGATGTGATTTTCTAATAGTTCTATATTACTCATGTAATTGTTGACAGTTATGATTGTGAAAAAGCATAACAATATTTGTAACATTATATGCTTCATTTGTGATTTGTAGAACAACAACAATTAATTCTTAATTTTCTAGTATCAATGTGAAACAATTGAACGAAAAATAAAAACAAAATCAATTGACATACACATACATACTACAAAGACAACAATAAAATAAATATTAGTCTATTAATGTACTTTATTATTTTTTTCATGAATATTTGATATTGAAGCCAAATTTGGTGATGATGATTGTTGTTGTTGTTGTTGTTGTTGCTGTTGATCATCATCATTATCATTTAAATGACTTGATGATAAACTTCTATTTATTTGTTTTAAATTCCATTTTAATTTTTTTTGTTTAGGTTTTATTTTTAATTGTTTTAAAGTGATTGACACATTTGTTTTATTTGTATCTAAGTTAAAATGTCCGTTTAAAAACTGATTAGTTAATTGTTCACTATCACTTTTTAAAGAGTTTTTATTCGAATGTAAATGACTGGAAAAACTTTGATAATTATGATTGCTCACATTAATACAATTATTTGATCTGTCGCGATTAGCAAATTTATTTATTGGTTGTTGTTCACGTTGTTCATCGGGTACCGTAAAAAAACTACATATACTACGAAATGTTGAATTACGTCCAAGAAATGTTTCATTAAGAAAATAATTACAATGAGCTATTGTAAATACTTCTTTAAGAAAAACAGTGGATGTTAAAGAATATAAAAAGAAATTTAATGTATAATTCAAATTTCTTATTGTTAATGACAAATAACGAAAACCAATATTAATTATATTAACTTTCAAATTGAGTTTTACACTACCAATCGCATTTGAAAATAGCCAATACCAACATATTTGGTATGGCATTGTAAATGTTATAAATGAAAATGAAACAGCAATTAACATAACACTAATATGTATACGTCTACTGCCACTTGCACGTATACGATTTCTTAATTTTTTTATTGTTATTATACTTAATGTTAATATTAATATTGATGGTAAAACATAAATAAAAAAAATTTGTATGGACCCAATTATTTGGTATGTCTTAGAAAAAAATAAAAGACATTCATCAACTTTTGATGCAACTATAGCAAGACCAAGTGGTGCTATAAGTGCAATTAAAAATACACTAAAGACAATTATCCATGCTTGTCGACGATTAAAACTTGTTCGAATTAAGAATGGTTTCGTTACAGATAAATAACGTTCAGCAGCGATCATTAATATAAGCCAAGAATTAATTGATGAACCAACTAAATCAATATAAACATGAAATGCACATATGAATCGTGAACCGGTTACAACAAAACCAATAAACACTTTGTGATTGAGCCATTGCATGGTTACTGGACCAGCCAGAATAAGAATATTTGTTAATGATAACATTGCCATAAATACAGACACCGGATAACGACACATACGTTTACGAAGAAATATTATCATAGATAATGCATGTGTTGGAATACCTTAAATAGAAAATTAATTCAATTGTTTTCATATAAATTAAAAATAATAGATTTACCTATAAGAATTAATATTGGATTAGCATATAGAAAAACTTCATCTGTTATGTAATAAAATCTTGTATAAGCTCTATAAGTTTCCCAATCATCAGCCAGACTTCCATTAATATCATCATCATTATCAAGTGTTGTATTCATTGTTTTAATCTATAGAGAAAAAGAATATTTTTTCATTTAATAAATAAAATAGAATACAAAACAAATATATATATATATATATATAATGTTGATTACACAGAAGAACAAGAAATAGGCAAGGAATATGGAAAATAAAAAAATAACACATTGTGTATGACTATTTTCATAAAAAAAGAATCATGTAATAAAATATCTACAAACATTAGTTTTATATTCTTTTTTCTTCCACTTGACTCAATTTATTGTTGAATGAAACGAAGATGGCACATGCATGAATGGTAAATATACAACACAAAGCTTTGCATGTTTAGTTTACCATCAAATTTGAAAAAAAAACGTTGCTCATTGTTACGAACTAATTAACTCGTTGAATAAATTGATTGACACATGGTAAAGATTTAAAAAGCTGTCTCGTATGACAGAGAATCTACTTGAGATTCTTTAGAAAAGAAATATTTGTTATTAGACACAAAAAAACGATAAATACTTAAACTTCATCATGTTATTGGAATTTTTTTATTGAAGTATGCGCATAACAACGTCTTTTCTACGATGTCAATAGAAAAAAAATAACAGTCTTTCCAGAAAAAGAATCGACTAGTATTCAATAAAAAAAAACATGATATCCGGATTTATCAAATAAAATGATGCGCTATTATTTTTCCGTTGTTCCTGACTTTCTTTTCTCATAATGAATCTTAAAGGCCAACGTGTACTTAATTATTCTTAGACAGCAAATTAATCTCAATCTTTTTAATATTACAGGTGGATAGGCAAGAAATTCCTGCAGAAAATTGCCTCTCTTATAATATATTTTATACGACGTAAAAATTATCATCATCAACATCATGTTTTGCTCATGTCGACATAGAAAGAAAAAAAGCAGAAGGAAAGAGAATAAACCCGACATTTGACACGATTCGACTTAGCTTTCGGCTATGTTTGCTTTTGTATATATCTGTGAACATGGGTGATGCTATGTGCCTGATTTGAGTTCTGTCTAAGCATTGAACATATCGATTTGTCTTTTTCTGCTAATTTCGAATATGAGAAAAAGAAAAATACGTTGCCTGACATTTTTATTTGATCTAGCATTCTAACTCTATTACGAAAAAATCACATCAATAATGATAAATGTTCATATAGCTAGCAGCAGAAAAGTCAAGTTGGCATAAATATTGCATATAGAAGAAAATATAAAGAAAATATTTTCTTCATAAGATAAGAATACTGATCTGTAGGCTTCTTCTTGAGGTTTAATCCTGATCTATTTGTAGATAGAAAACAATATACAATAAATATGTTATTAGCTTTAAAAAAAAAACTTCAACGAAGACAAGAAATAAAATGTAGCATGTTTTTATTTTTTATTAAACTACGTAAATTTCATCTTTTTTTGCTCTCTATTAGTTTTGGATGTTTCTGCTTATACTTCTCAATAAATACATAATTTATTTGAATATAAGTGAGATTCATATTTAAAAGTGACTTATGCATGTAAAATAGCATATTTCTTTTGTACTTGTGTACTTGACAGTGTTTAAGCTAGGCAACTTTGAGATAACTCTTAAAATAGTTCAAATGGAAATAGATGTACTAAGCTGAAATCGAAGAACTATAGACAACTGTTAGAAAATAAAACCTTGTATGTAATTTCTATGCTTTCTATGTCTCTGTAATGACATTTTTTTAGATATATATATATATATATGTCTCGCACTTCGCTATCATCCGACATGATTCGATAAATATCCAAGTGGCTCCAAGTATGCGAAGATAGTCGATACGAAGTGAAATGAGCGTGTTATTATGTCGAGAAAAGTCACAGACATATCTATTTGAGATTGATGTCATTAATATGTAAACAATCAAAAAAACCACGAGTGCTTTTATTTAAAGAAGACATATGCCTATGACATATACAAGTCATTTTCAGTTCATACTTAGTTTTTTTTTGTTTTTTTAAACGCTTCCTATTTTTGAACTTGCAATAGATATTAAGTAGAAAAATGAACTATCATTTAAGTATACATTTAACTATGAATATTAGCAATGTCTTAATACTGTCAGTCGTTCAAAACATTTAATAACCATATAAATGATCACTTACTTTTCTTCTTCTTGTTTTTTTATAAATTTGAAAAATCTGTATTGAATTCAGCATATAAAATGATTTATCTATACTTTTCTACGTCATATATTTATGATTTTTCCGTTGCTATCGCTTAATATTTATTCGATAGACGTAGCCTTTTCTGATAATGCACTTCCTATACGTCATACACTCCCGAAACGTCAAGTGTTTGTGCAAGTGCTAACGTCTATTTTCCACTTAGCATCAAACTTTTTCAACTTAATCTGTATATATATATAAATATACATATCTCTATGAGTGTTTTGTCCTTGAAAAATAAGTATGTTTGTTATCGACGAATGCATGTTCAATTCAATCAAAGGAATTTTCCTCGTTTGTTATTATTTTTTATTTCTAAATTATTTTGATGTCGATTGCATATAAAATAAAATTTGAATAAATAATATACTTACACATAGTAGTAACTTCAGAAGTAAAACAAATATATGAATGTGTTTTATCTTATTAGAAGAAAAAAAGTTTTTTTTACTTCACTTTTTTTCTCTGCTCTTTTCTACAATCATATTACTATTCTTCATCTTCATATACTTTTCCCACTCTTTCATATGATGAACACAGAATGTAATTGACACGCAATAATAATGGGGGGCGGGGGGGGGGGGGGGGGGGGGGAGAGGAAAAAAAAGCTAAGGGGGGGGCGGGGGGGGGGGGGGAAAGGCTTTTTTCGGGACGGGGGGGGGCGGGGAACAAAAAATTCTCCCCGTTTCGGNNNATGAGCTATGTTAAGAAAAAAAACTATTTTTAAAATAGATTAAGAATAATAGAATGACATTATTATTCAATTTCAAATGTCACAACAACAAGATTACGAAATAAATTGATCTTCGTGTCAATGTTAAATCAGTTATCGGTTGTTTTTAGAGCCATTTTACTATTCTGAAAGTTTGTCTCGAATGTAGCAACTCGTCGGTAAATTTTGTTATTTGTGTTAATGCTTTAGCACCAAGTTGAATTGTTCGATATTAAAAGTGAGGTTACTTACTTGTTTGTTGATAGTGAAAATGTTGCTCTAAACTCAATTTTGAGAAAGAATTTGTTTGTTCAAAAATCTATTGTGTTACACGATTATGGTTTTTCGACTTCCAAGAAATATCTGAGAGAATCTTGTAAGATAGCAAATCATTTTTTTATGTGAGTTTTTTCAATAAAACATCTTCAAAATTGACTGTTGAGTTGAAAACTTTCGGAAGTGAACTCCTCAATAGAACTTTCTAGTGTCTCTCAGACATCCAAATGAATAGTTTTTGTTATGCAGAAAAGCAAACTTTGTTCTTATATCCTAGAAAAGTTTGAATGCGAAAGTCAATGTTGAAGATGATATGTAGCGAGTCATAATACCTTGTTGAAAACTCAATAAAATAGCCATCATTTAAGCCCCCCCCCCCCCTCAGAAACCAACTTTGCTATTTTTCGTCCGATTTCACCCAAGTTTTTCGGAGGATATTAGTCTAGGATAGGCTAGATTATGAGTGACATATCTCCCCCAAAACTTCAATAAACTAACGAGTTATAGTAAATTTATTGGTCAAAAGTACCCTGTACGCTGGCAAGGTTTCCGCAATAAGGATACGAGCTAACATATCTGGACGGTTTTTAGGTTGTAGAGTGTGCTTAGGGCTAGGTCGTGACAGGGCCCGATTTTTGAATTTTCTTTCCTTTGTTTTTTAAAAGTTCTTGAATTCATGGCCAAAAGAACCACTGATCAAAACGAAAGATCTACGGTTTTTATTTCAGCAAAAGAGAAATTCAAAATCCGGCTCTGTGACGACCTAGCCCTACCTGTCTATTATAGAATAAAAAAAATTATCACTTCCATATCGAATCGTTATGAAGAAGAGCCTGCCCATGTAAACGACATGCTCGAACAAACTGATTTTGAGAAAAACGAAAAACAAAATTTTTAATGCAATTACCGTCTTTATTCGAAATAAATCTGCTTATTAGTCTAATATTTCCGCACTACTCGTCAAGCTTTACTGATGGCGTGTATGTGAATATATCGTAATACGGTTAGAAGTACATATCATGCCTAAACTATGTTCATGGTTTCTTATACATAGATGTCACTTCGAGTCACACATGTTTTTATCAATTTTCTGGTTAATTCGTGAAATAACATTTTAGTTGATCGATGTATTTTTCCATTAGTGATAGCTAGAGAGCTGAAACTTTCAGAACTAAAAGATCTTGATTAGTTCTATATGTCATAAAAATTTCAGGTCTATTCTCCCTCGGACAAAAAAAACGGCCTTTTCCATTTCATTTTTGCATCACATAATAAGTTGTTTTAGAAAAACAAAATATACCAGGAGATGCAGCATGAAAAGAACTACAATGTGCAAAGTAAAGCTTATTTTAATTTTGTACTTTTTGTTTTCAAAAGAAGCAAAATTGTGTGCGACCAATTTTCGACGTTGGAAAAAAATCATTTTTTTCTATGCGAACGAGAAATTCCTTTTTCCTTATTTCATCTTTTTATCAACTAATATATTTTTGTAAAAAAAAATAAAACATACCACAATATGCAACGTGAAAAGCTCTACAATTTACGCAGAACAGTTCATTGAAATAAGAAGAAAGGAATTTTTCATTGGTGTAGAAAAATGATCCTTTCGCAGCGTCGAATATTGGTCGCACTGAATTTTGCTTTTTTCAAAAACGAAAAGTACATAATTGAAATAAGATTTACTTTGTATATTATAGTTCTTTTCACGCTGCATCTCCTGGTATATTTTGTTTTTTCAAAACAACCTATTAAGTGATGCAAAAATGAAATGGAAAAAGGCCGTTTTTTTTGTCCGAGGGGGAGTAGAAACTGTCGCACAACATGATCTTCCATAAACGGATTATGCGATAATGACTAAAACAACAGCGTCAATCTTAACTATTCCTATGACTCTAACCATAAAGTAGTAGCCTCTTAGATTGACACAATAGTGTCTATTCTCTGCATTTCAATGATTCGTTTTAAAATATTTATATACAAAAAATTGATCATGCAAAAATGAAAAACTTCACATAGTAGGTCGTTGAACATATACAAGAATATAAGCATCTTTTGTCACAATATCATGCTCATTGAGAATTTCTCGAATTGTTTCGTCATCAAATGAATACCAGTTTTTATTTCGATCATTTCTTGCATAAGTAATATAATGTCCACTAACAAGACTACCTCTATGATTAGATACCGCTACAAGATCATACAATGTTGACATATTTTTCTTTTGACCATCATTTTGGATTATATATGGATGGAGATCAAGATCTCGAAGTGGAAAGTCGATGTATGTATCAATTTTTGTGCTGGAATAAGGGTCATATGTAAATCGTTTTAACTGTATAATTAGTACAGGAGGTAATGGTAAAACTAAATCTGCCTTCTGCCTAGCTGTTTTGAGATCAAGACATTTCGAACAATAATAAACACCGTTGAGTGGCTCTTCACGAAAAAAATCTGCTAATAGACTGTTTAATGATGAATTGATGGATGATCGATCAATATTGTATAGATTTATATATTTTTCAATCCATTCAGGATCCATTTCGAGAATAATTCGATTCATGAACAATAGTGAAGTGTCGTCTTTATGCGTTTCAGTTTTGAAATTGCAAGTTGTGCCCTTATCATTAATCCAATAACGATGAAATACAAAAGTCGGTGCATTAGTTACTGAACAGAGATAATTTTGAATCTGATTTATCTGTTCGAATAGATCAGAATAATGACAACCGTAGGATGGACAAACGAGAAAAATAGGTGGTCGAAATGGTTTGTATGTTCTGTGACTGAGAAAAGCAAGTTCGACATATCTTTGGTCAACAGTTTTCTCGGGAAGTTCGATAAAAGTTAGTTGATGCTTGATGGTGTCACTTAGTAATGTGTAAGATGAGTAGTTATCTATAATTATATTGTCCACTATTCTAACAACTTGGATTCGTGTAGATGATAATTTTGGCTCATGTTGTTTAATAAACGACTCAATCAGTGTGCCGATCGTCCTTGCACAAACATGAACTGAAATTAATTTTTGTTCACCATTACTTCGAAGATAGAGAATATCATATTGATCAATATCATTTGCGACAGGTAACGGAAGAAAACTAATTACTTCTGCATTGGTCTCTATGAAATGACATCCTCCTAAACATTTAACACTTGATTGAATTTGACCATAGAACAAATCAGTAATTAATGTTCTTTCGTTTGTTAACTCTTGATGAATTATAGTTAGAAAATAGTTCATAAATTCTTGTGCATCTTGCTGTCTATATCGTCGAAAACGTGGTAAATTCTCAGAAATATTCAATAATAAAGACGATGGTACAGTGACAATATGTTCACCTGACCACATTGTTTTAATCAATGCTGAATAGGCACCAATTATTGGTGCATTTATTTCATTACCAAACAATAAGATTTTTCGAGTGAATTCAGGAATATTACTTAAACATTGAAGAGCACTATTCATAAAACATGTATTACCTAAATTGGTTAGACCACATAGACCAGGAACAAGATCATCTTGTCTTTGAAAGCTAATCATTGAATATTGATTAAATTTCATCTCAGCTAAAGTCAAATCATCTAGATTGGTATCAAATTTGGTCCAACCATTTTCTGTCCACAAGTATAAATATTTGGTTCTTTGACTTATGACTCGTTTTCTTGCTTCTTCTTTTAGTTGACCAATAGTTATCGATGAATCTACATTAAGATATTCAAAATCTGTTTTGTTCATTGATTGTTTACAAAGTTTTACAGTTAAATTCTTATCTCTAATTTTTGATGTATGATGTATTTTTGTATTTGCTTCTTCAATTTTTTCGACATTCAAAGTGGTATAAGAAGGAAGCTGTAGATCAGTGATTGTTGTATAACCATCTGCATCAGAAATAGGCACCCAAATATAATCGACATAATCAAAACTTGTTAGCGAGAAATCTGTGAACTTCATATTTAAATTAAGTTGTTTACAGATCTCTTCTTTCAATTGTATTAAAGTATTGTCTTTCGGAACATCTATATATTTGACATTATTTCGATTTCGATATGTTCTGCATACTGGATAGGAAACAGTTTTTGAAGTTGTGGACAATGTAGGTACAGTGGATAATAATTCTCGTTTTTGAGAGTAGTGCTTATCGTTCGAAAGTGATGATATAGAAGGAAAAGATTGACCATTATATGATTTTTCATAGTTCATTCTAGAAAAGATGATGATGAACATTGTTTTTTAGAGAACTTCTTTTTACATACATGAAATTTTTGTATAAAATTATGATTCAATTAAAAATCTGAAATAAAAAAGTTCAATGAATTAATATTTCTAGCAATGTATATTAATTTAATTTTTTTTTAAATACACCAAAACATAAGCATTTCGATTTACAAGACGACGACTATCAAGAACAGGTTCAATATTTGAATCATTAAAATGATACCATTCATCTGAACCATTTAAACGAGCAAATGTTGTATAATGTCCTCCTTTTAAATTACCAACATGCATAGAAACAGCGACAAGATCATACAATGAATCACCATTACCGTCAACATTCCAATTGATAATTGGATAATTAACTAATGTATTTAATTTATCATTTGTCTCATTAAAAGTAAATCGTTTAAGTTGAACAATAATTACTGGTGGTAATGGTTGACATAGACTTGTTTGTTGTTTAGCTGATCGAAGATCTTGACAATTCGAACAATAATATTGTCCATCGAGTTGTTCTTCTTTCAAAAAATCATCTAATAATATTTGAAGAGTTACTGTTGATTCATTTTCAAGTGGTAATGGAAGACAATAAGTTATTTCTTCAAGTGAATCACAAATATCACAGTCTAAACATGTTACTTTAGATTGAGTTGTAATAGAAAAAAGATTTGAAATAATAGATGATTGTTCTTTTGACGAGTCATTTTCTATGAATTCAGAGTGAAGTACATTAAGAAGAGAATTCATGAATTCATGAGAATCTTTTTGAGCATAATCAGAAAAGATTCGAGCATGTTGACTAATACGTTTTTTGATATCATGAGGAGCAACATATGAGTTTTTACCTGACCACATTGATTTAATCAATGAAGTATAAGCTTGAGTAACGGTTTTCTCATGATTTGATAAATTTTGTTTTTTAGCCCATTCAGTCAGTTTAGGTATGTTACTTAAACATTGGATAGCACTATTCATAAAACATGTATTACCAATATTGGTTAGACTACATAAACCAGGTTCAATGGATAGATTTTTATGGGTGTTTTTGAACTTTCTGCTTTTAAAAGTTATTTGGGATGAACTATCTATTTCATTGTGTTTAGCTATCTCAATCGACCCATCACAAATTGACATTGGTGATGACCATGGGATAAATTTCACTAATTGAAGATAGCGGATAAAAATCAAGAGAAGCAAATCAATAGACAGCATTATTGTAGGTATTGAAGAAGTACAAGATGATTGTTTTGGATCTGTATTCATTGGCAGTATCGATGTATCACTTGAAGATTTTTCTATTGGTTCTTTAGGTAACTGTTCCATAAATAGATGAAGGACGCGTAGATCTATATTCAATAAAATTTTGTTAAAAAAAATAACAACTAATAGATAATAGACTCACCCAAATCATTCCACTGATAGAAAATCAAAGAAGGTGGGATAAACGTGTAAAGTTTTATATTGTTTACGTTAATATCGTCGATACAAACGTTATTATTTCTTTTGTCATTATATTTCAAAGCCAAGTCTTGTGTACTCAATTCGTCTGAAATATCCATCTAAAATAAATATCTAATAGAATAAAATAGCTACTCAACTATTGATAATTTCTCAATCATTCTGTTTCAAATAAATAAGTATATATGCTTGTCTTGCAATAAATGGGATAAGTACTTTTTTCGACTCAATTTCTTCAAAATAACTATCATCAAATCTATACCATTTATTTATTCTATAATTATATGCCATAGTTGTATAATGTCCACCAGCAAGACTTCCACTGTGCATGGATATAGCAGATAATTGATATCTATCATTATTTGATAGTAAATTTCGATGTTCAAGTTTGTATTGAACTAATGTATCAATTTTTCTTTTTGTACTATCATAAGGAAATCGTTTCAATTGAATAATAAGAGCACGAGGTAATGATTGAGTAATTAGAGTTCTATGTCGTGCTGATTGACATATTTTACATTTGTGACAGTAATATTGTCCATCTAATGGATCTTCTTGACAAAAATCTTTGATAAGATCTTCTAATAAAACTTTCTTTTCATCATAAAATTTGAAATCAGGAATTGGAAGTGGAAGAAATGTTGTTGTTTCATCAATAATATCAAAATGTTGGCATTTATTGCAAGTTGCTATTGATTGAGTATGAATTCGAAATAGATTAATAAGAAATGAATTTGAATCAACTGTTTCTATAGCATTAAGAAGAGAATTCATGAATTCATGAGAATCTTTTTGATCATAATCAGAAAAGATGGTTGATGAACGACTGAGATATTGTTTTAATTCACGAGGTGTGACACATGCATGATGACCTGACCACATTAATTGTACTAAAGAAATATAAACATCGATTATATTCAAGTAAGATGAGGACGGTTGTTGTTCCATAATCCATTTGATTATATCTGGTATACTGTTCAAACATTGAATAGCACTATTCATATAGCAAGTGTTTCCAATATTGTTTAGGCCACAGACTCCTGGAATATGACATGTTGATAGAAGATTCGAATGATCTTTTGATACTCTTTCATGATCTGACGAGGAATTTGATGAAATACTTGGTATGGGTGGTAACTTTGATTTTGATGGCAAATGCGGAGTTGTATTCAAATGTGATCGGTTGCATTTGAATGGATTGAGTCTGATTTGACTATGCACATCATCTTCATTGGCTGTTGTCGATTCAGAAGTACGTCTGAATACAAACGACTGAGAATTCTCTTCAATACGTCCTACGAAAATTTTTTTTTTGTAAAAGATTCCTAACAAAAATTATGATTCTTATAAAATTTTGTATATCATACCAGTTTTAAAGATATATAGGGTAGGATAAGGATAAGCATGCTACATGGTATTGTGTAAGTAAGTATTCGAAAATTTTCTCAGTCAGAGTATAAGATACGAAAAAGCTTACCTGAACACATTTAAATGATTTCTAAAACCGTGCTATAATAGAATTCTAGGTCTCATAGAGGAAGAAGATGTTTCGATCTTTATTTCATTTATTAGAATTCTTCTAGTTTTTGTATGTGCCAAATATTCATATATATTCTGTTGAGCTACGAGTGAATATTCACTTACTTGGAAGTTTGTTGCTTTTAAAGAGCCGTTGAAACAATGTCGGCGATTTAGTTATTCCATCATTTTTGTATGATGAACTCGTTGTCTGATGCAGCACCGCTTCGTCTATTAGATTTGTTTTCACAAAAGACGGTTTTGTAGATAAATTTTTGCGTTCTGAACGTTTGAATTGAGATTTCTCGGTTAACCTTGAATTCTTTTGTTTGTTTTGTTCCTTTTTCGATTTCATTCCACAACAATAGTTCATCTGAAAAAAAAATTATGCATTACAAAAGATACTAAGATATAGAGATAAATCTCGTTTATTCAATGACTTTAGCAATAACAAAAAATCATAAGATATTGTTCATGTACAGCAAACACAGAAATATTATTCTTAATGACAAAGACGTGGAAATATGTTAAATGTTTGTTGTGCTAGTGGACCACACGGTTGATGATATGCAGATTTATAATCACGCTTACATTCTTCTTCCGTTTTGAGACAAATAAAACAGAATTTGTGACCACATTTACACCTATGATACTTGCATTTTTGATCATACGAGCCACATTCAAAACATTTTGGACAACATCGCCGATTTGGTACTTTCATTGATTTGTTATATTCAAGTGTAACTAATTGATAGGTAATTTTCGTTTCCCAAAAACAATTTACTTTGCATGTATACGTTTCATTACGCATTCTTTTTTCTTTTTCATCCCAGTCAGCATTGCAAAAAAAACATAACCATCGTTGACAATTGTCACATTTTTGTTTTGCATACATAGTACTATTGATAGAAAATGCACCACATGTACATATTTGAAAATCGATATTTCGTGCCATTAATTTTGTCTCATCTAATTGAACGAGTGATTGGATAAATTGTGGAGTAACAAAAAAATTTTCTGGTGATACAGTTTGATTACAAGTAAGACAAATGATTTTATAATCATAATTGACAAAATAATTAGGAAAACATTCTTTGCAAATAATTGAACTGCAGCAAAATTTAATACACTTTTTTTCTTCTGTACAAATCATACATTCTGAATTTGTCTGTTGAGTTGGAATTTTACGTAATTCATCTTGAAGATCAACGATAATAGTTGCTTTATGCGAGTCAATATCAAGTAAACCTGAACCACCATCCATTCGTTGACAAACATAAATGATTGTGTTATTCTTAATAGATTTTTTCAATTCAGCAAATTTAATTGGATCATTGTCTTGTATTTCTTGTCCATTAACGATAAGTCTATAGTTAGTAGAGCCAAATTTTTCTTGAACTATTTTTTTAATGTCTTCAACAGTGTAACCTTCTTTAAGTTGTGCAGTATGTTTACTGCCTTTCATGGTTGAGAACAACACGTTAATAATACTCGACATGGTTTTGAAATAATTCTAAAGACAAAATAATATTTTTCTGATAATAAACAATAATGGGAAGATTCAGATTAATGCGTAACGAAGTTTTCTATGATGCATATATGTCTAATATATGTCTTTCGTGTAGCACTGAGGAAAACAATGAAATACTGTTTGGCTATGCGAAACGCACGCCTTTTATGTGTCTGCAAGAGTTCATTGTAAGTGGAAATTTCCAACTGTTTTAATAGCGTCATTTTTATATTAGTTTTTTTCCAACATTTGTCATACCCATAATTTAAGCTGTTTTTCTTTCTTCCAACTTAAGCATACTGAAAGGTACTGATGAATCTCGAGATGCATCGTTCGCAATAGAACAAGAAACAATAAAAAGCATCTTAAGCAAGACATTACACTTTTTTTTTTGATATTTTTGTTTTCCTCCTTTTGCACACAAGTTGGTAAAAAGAGAATTTATTTCGCCATATGAAGCAAAGTTATATGATTTGTGCATTATAACTCCTCGTGTAGAAGGTGGAACTAAAGATCGTTGAGATGCAATAAGCAATTGCTTACGAAATCTTTTAAAAGAACATCGATAAAAGTAAGGAAAAGAGCTACTAGCGTTAAGTGAATCATGTTTCAACATAAAACTTTGCTCATTCTTTCTGTTGTTATACTAAATGCTTTTGGTGAATTGAAGTCTTGTATAGAAACATTCTATATCAAAATATATGTGCAAAAGTAGTAAGAAAGAACTTTTTAAGGATATGTTTAAATGAAAAATATTGAATTCTGATGCTTTCTAGAGCTTATGAATGACTCATAAGTAAATGCTTGATGCACTGATGCGTACAAGATATAGAATTAAAAATGGAATAGACATCAGCTTCAAAAGTTGTTCGAACATCTATGAGTTTGGTCATACAAAAGAAAGTTTGAAAACAAATAAAGAACCACAAATCAACTTTATATATACTATTTTATATTTTCAAGTATGTTCTATTATTCATATAGAAACAGCATGAGTCTATCTGAGTTTCCTACATTTATAGTTGACTTTCTAGAAAATCTTTAATTTTCAAAGAGAAAAATTTACTATTTGTTTTCTCTGACAATACTGGTTTTCTTTTCAAGTTATACTTTTTTTTTACATCAAAACAATTTGAAAAATAACTCATATGGTAGAGAAAAAAATCTGCACACGATGCTAAAGCTTAAAATAGAATAAAGAATAAAATAACAACTTTGAACGTGTTTAAAAATCCATAGCAACAGATGCCTTGCAAGTAACTTGGAAATTTTTGCTTTTTCTATCTGGGTTTTTTCACAGCTAGCTTTTTATTTTTTGTTCCTCTTACACTATCGCAAAGAGTAGATTGCGACAGTTGTAAACGATGAAATATAACATGATATGGTATCATATCCACATACGTTTTTACTCATTCAAGAGGAAGAGATTTATACTCCCCAAATTCATTAAACACTGGAAATATTATTTATTCACTTGAAAAAGATACTGTCTAATCTGTTGTTCGAATTGATTTAAATAATAGAACGAAAAAGTATTATTTATTTAAAAATAAAATATCTACTGTTGCATATATTGCTCGACTAAATCGGTCGTATGTCTTATCCATGGTTGAATGTGTGGCGTCGTATACGTTCGGGATATATTATGGTCGTATATGATCACCGTTTTTTTTTTGTGATGCATTTCGTAGCATACAGCTGTTTATGATAATGGCTTTTCGACCTGGGAGACTATCGTGCAGAGAATTTTTTTCTCTATCAAATAAGGCGTTTTGCTCAAATTGTTTTTACGTAAAATAAAAGTGAAACTAGAAAAAAAAAATGCTAGATTTCTGAGAGAAAACATAAATAGTAATTTTTTCTCTTAAAAAAAGACTTTTTTCGGAAAGTCAATTATTATTTTAGGAAAATTCAGTGAAATTTTCTCATATTTATATGAATAATAGAACAGATTTTGAACTATTGAATAGTATAATCAAAGTTGATATAGAATTTTTCTCTTGTTTCAAAACTTCTTTTGTGAGATAACAGTTTCTGATTAAGACATTAGTCTTACATTCGAATGTAAAGTTCAATGTCGGTATCAATTTAGTTAAAAATCTCAAAGAACCGATAGAAACTATTCTTCTTGTCTTAATCTTTTACTTGCCACGGTAGTTCTAGAGGAACCACTGATGAACAAATAGAGTATTGATCTCCTCAATATGGTAATGGTTTGAACAGACCGGTCAAAGGTATTATCCTTTGTGCGGAGGACTTTGATCGTTCCAGTAGCTATTGGGAAAAATAAGGGGAAACATCTTTAAAAATCGTACTTTTCCCTCTAGTATAATAGTATTATGATCTGTATCTTCTTTAGCAGCAGTCATAAGGATTTTTCCTCTTTATCTATAGAATTATAAATAAGTACTTATGTTCTTCTTCTTTTCTCTTGTTGTTAGTCATTTGTCATGGATTTTTCTTTCCTGCCTTGTATGTATTTATGATGAATTTTTCATTTTCGTTCCTATATGTTGGAGTTTTCTCTTCCCTTCTGTTCTTCTTTTTTTCATGTTGTTCTATGAATTTTCCTTTCTTTGTTCATCGTTTATGGGATTTTTCATTAAGACTTTTCCCAATATTATCATCGTATACATATTAGTTAGATTGTTGCGACGAAGAGTAGAAATAGATATACATATCGAAATAAGGTCTCATAGATAATGTTAACTAGACACAAGTAGCATCCATGTTTTTTTTATTTGACTTAAATGATAAAACAAGCGCTGAATATATGAAACAGTAGTTTTAATAACATATGTATTTTCGACAGATATTTTTTCAAGCATCTTTCTGGTCTCAAGATAACAATGATATCAAAAGAAGGCAGTCAGTCGATAACAAATATTTTATACGACTTCTAATGTGATAAGACTGATCAAAAATATGTATGATATACGTCTATTTCCCCTTTTTGCCTCCGATGATTAGTGCAGGGTTCATTGAAAAGTTTACTATGTTTTATTCGACAAGCTATCATTATTTAATGTTGGAACATGTTAAGGTGATTCTACTAAATTTGAAAAAGATGACTCTATACGTCATAAGTATTTCTAAAAGATTATAAATTACGAATATTTTCTACAACATTTTATGTTATCTTTCTATTGATGCTAAATAGTAATATTTAATCTTGTTTATTAAAATCAATGGATACATAGCAACAATGAGAAAACACCTTGTAGCACAAGACTAGGCTAGTGGCTTATTGTTTATTGACCGATAAAATTATCCGTTTATCGGCTGATAGACTCTCACGAGTGATAGAAACAAATAAAAAAAAATTAAAATTCTTCATAAAGTTGATGTTGAAGTGATGAAACTTTTGCTATAGAAATAAACAATTTCATTAAAAAGCATTCAATTATTAAGTATAATGTTTTTTAAGTTCAAACGAGCTCGAACTTTTCCAGCAGATTGATAAAACAATAAAAGTTCACATTTCTGTTAAAATAAGATCATCGAAAACCAGATACTTCCATTGGTTTTCTTATGAATTTATCATGCACTCAATGTGTGTGAAAAAATCGCAGAAGACTTCATGGAACTTCAAAAGTGAAGTTTCTGTTGCTTCCCCTCGGTCGATATATATCACATAACACGTCCACTAAATGTATCTTATATGTTGGCAGAAAAGAATTCTACAAAAAAAATTATACTTTGAAACTTGTCAATTTCGTAAATGATGCTTTTCAGTAACAAACTAATAAAACAAAATACTCTGTTTCATTAATTGGTACTTTATTAAATTCCGTACAATTAAAATAACGTTAGTTATAAATTAAATGCTTTGGTTCTATTTTTTAACTGCAACTTCTGCCAAGGTACCCGCAGCGGGTGAAGGAAGATGGTAAAACGTTAATAATGATTTGAAAAATTTGATTAACGAAATTATATAATACGAAAATGTTTGTTTGTCAGTATTGAATAAATGAATAATTTTTGAAATAATAAATTTAAAAAGAAATGATTGCTCACATTCAATACGTTAGCGATCTCTGTCGTTTGTTTACACTAAGAATCGATCTAATTGGTTGCTGCCATAAAACTATTTTTGTGTTTCTTTTTCAAGGAGTTCGGAATCGATCAGTGAGTTTGTTGTCGTTGTCGACCACGAAAAGAATAGAATAAGAAAGTTTGCATTTAAGGACAAAATGTTTCTAATGATTTACTTTAGATCGATATGGGTGGTCCAACCGGTGTACCGCAAAAAGCACAAACAACAACAAAAGATATCTTAATCGACTTTCTTGCTGGTGGAACAGGTTTGTTTTTCTTCTTCGTATTTAAATAAAATACACTATAATTTTATTTTTTATTTTAGCTGTATGTACCATTATTTTATTATAGTTAATTATTATTATGATAATTATTATTATAGGGAGCTATTTCGAAAACAGCTGTTGCACCACTTGAACGTGTTAAACTTCTTCTTCAAACTCAAGATGTGAATCAAAAAATTTCAGCAGGAAAAATGTATAAAGGATTCGGTGATTGTTTTATTCGATGTGTTCGAGAAGAAGGAACTATATCACTCTGGCGTGGAAATTGGGCGAATGTTTTGCGTTATTTTCCAACAGTAATTTATTCTTGTTTATCATAATCTAATTAAAAAAAGTTAATAAATAAATTTTTATTTTATTTAATCATTTAGCAAGCCTTAAATTTTGCTTTCAAAGAACGTTATCAACGAATTTTTGCTAATTACAATCCAGTTTTAAATCCATATAAATTCTTTGCTGGTAATTTATTTGCTGGTGGTATGGCTGGTGCGACTGGTCTATTATTTGTTTATCCACTTGATTTTGCTCGTACACGTCTTGGTGTTGATATTGGAAAATCAATTAATGAACGACAATTTAGAGGCATGAACGATTGTATTGCAAAAATTTATAAAGCTGATGGAATTCAAGGTTAAATTTTTCTTAATAATTGAAATTATATATAAAATTAAAATTTATTTTCTTCTAGGTCTCTATCGCGGTTTTGCTATTAGTGTTGCTGGTATTTTTGTCTATCGAGCATTCTATTTTGGTGGTTATGATGCTGGAAAAAGATTTATGTTCGGAGATGATCCAAATCCAAGTATATTGTATCGTTTTCTTTTTGCACAATTTGTTACGTCGTCATCGGAATTTCTTGCTTATCCACTTGATACAATTCGACGGTATGTTTTGTATTTTGAAATTTTAATCAAAAAACAAAGGAAAAATAATAAATTTCTTGTTTTTTTTAGTCGTTTGATGATGCAAAGTGGTCGTGGAGACATTATCTATAGAGGAACATTAGATTGTGCTCGAAAGATTGCTGTTACTGAAGGTTTATTAGCCTTTTTTAAAGGCAATTTATCAAATATTTATCGTAGCGTTGGTTCATCGCTTGTACTCGTTCTCTATGATGAATTCAAACGATGGCTATTTCTAGCTGGACAAGCCTCCTATGCCAAATGATTTATTTTTCCTATTAGAAAAGAAAAACGGGTGGTGCTCTAGAACTAGGAATCTACTTTTTTTTCTTGTCACATCTGCTTGTTTCTTTTGATCCCATCTCTTTTCTCAAGCTACATGGTCCGTATCCTCTACTTTTGATGTATCCTGATGTTTTTGTGTGTCTCGGGGATAACAGTGACTTGAGTTCTATAGCTATTTTCTGTTTGTCGAGCACAACACATTTTTCTGTATAATAGATATTTGAAAAAAAAACAACAATAAGAACATGAAATATTCATTCCTTCTTTTTTATGTCCAACCCACTTATATTCTTTAATAAATCAGCCAAAGAATTAGATAAATCATCAATCTCAACAACAACAAAATAGAGCAAAATATACAAGTTTGATCTTCATCTAGACTAGCGCCCATTCTCCAATAGACTTTGTACGTGTGATCGTGTCAGCGAAAGAATTTACACTATAGATATCCATTATTATCAATAAAGTGAATGAAAAAATTTTCAGTGTTTCATTATCTTGTTGTTAGATGAAAATATCACCTTCAGCTGACGCATATCGAAGAATCAATTTTACTAAAAATTACCAGTGTCTCATTGACAATTAACTGAATAGTCATCAAATAACTATTTAAAAAACAACGTTTTTCTTAACAACTGCAGTTTATTACATACATGAATATTCGTCAATATAATCCATCAACTCAGTACTATATAATAAAGAATTGATAATCGTTTAACATATTGTACTGAGCCGATAGTTTTTTATTGTTATTAAATTGTAGTATTTGAATCGAATTTTTCTATCCACAAGATTTTTTTATAAAAAAAGTCAACTGACAAAAACAAATCAAGTTTATTTAATGAGTAATGAAAATGAAGATTCGAAATTTTAGTCTCGAATTGCAATAGTGAAAATCCAATAATTTTCTGTCAAAACAGATTTTTTCGCCTTTTCAAAGATTATTTCACTACTATCGAACAAACGAAAAGATAAAACTAATTGGAAGAGAATGCAAAATTCTGCTTCTAACTCATAGCTTTTAACTCGTTGGAAATACTTTCTAGCGAGTTAAAAGTGAACAAATACCTTATCTAAAAACTTTCTGACCACTTTCTACTATATAATATATATATGAAAGTACCTACTTACAAGATGAACATCACTATCAATGCTTCTGTTATATTGTTTCTTTTTTCCTTTTTGCATAGAATATTGGTGATATCAACTTTCGATTTAAAACAGAACTCAATTTTTTACTAGGATCTACTAAAATTAATCAAGAAGAAAATTGTTCGATACAAATAATAATCGAGACATTTATACGAATTCAAAAAGAAAGCATGAATGCAGGCGAATAAGCTAAATCGATACCATAAACAAAGACGCAAGCGACTATTAGTAAACTGAAAATCACTTCAAAGAAACACATCTTTCTCTTATATATGCAAAATATAAATTAGAATTTCTTTTTAAAATTAAAGCTACTAGAACCACAATCTGTCATGAAACTATATCAAAATTAATTCCGATAGAAAAATTGAACCAACGAAAAAAGTATTCTAATTATCCAATATGTCTTCATTATTTGATTACGCGATCAAAAAATAATACCCAGTGTAAAAAAAGAACAACTAGCCAAAAGTTCAATATCAAGTACCAGAGATCAACGAGTTAGGCTTGCGCCATTGCTCACGCTTCTTTTAACAAGAGCTAGATGAGTGATGCCAATTTAGATCCTCGATCACGAACTGTTACAGGTGTAATCACAAACCCATTTTTTCGAAAAGGTGAAAGAACTATAGAATAGTATTCATTTTCTTTTATATGGTATTATAAAATTTAGAAGAACTGTTCATAATCTCTAAATGGCATGACTAACCATCGGTGATCTACACATGATGTGAGTTCGAACTTAAGAGTAAGCAATGCTAAGTCTACTATTAAAAAGAGAATGATTGATAGTATATGAAATGGACGCGTTTCTATTCCTCAGCAGCAATGAGTGCTCTGAACAAGCGAAATTATTCTTCGAGTGAACAACTAGAAAATTTGTGTAAAATATGGCAGTAGAATACAGAGTCAAACAAAAATCGGTTAGTAGACAAAAAACTCTTCAATTAGTGATTCATCGATCGAATATAAAGAACTCTTTCAATATATAACGTTCTTACAAGCCAAGATAATACGTTCGAAAACCATCTCTATATTTGATGAAATTCCGTAACGAGATTCACTTATAATATATTTTGCTAGTTTATATTACTAATTTTCGCAGCAAAAATGGCATCCCCATATAAAACTTAATCAGCTCCATCGAACACATCTGTTTTAAACACAGTTTTATTTAATATCCTTATTTGTTGTCTAAAAATACTACGTTACAGAATTCTATTAGTATCTGAATTTAGTGGCGTTTTTAGACCATTTAACGTTTTGCACCGTTTTTGTTCATAAGTGAGCACATATTTTCGAATTCTGAAGAAAATGAAATATTTATTTAATCAAAATTTTATCTTTTATTTTTCTCAAGAGTTTCTCAGGTCGAAAAAGTTAAAAAGTTTTTTTTTCGTTGTGTTATACTGAAAAATACATTATTTGACTCAGAATTCAATGCTGGTGATGAATATCTCGTTGCTTTTAACTCTTTTGCTTTCATATGAGTCCAAACTGTAATTTTCGGAAAAGAGATGACATTTCATAACGAACACTCTTTAATTTGTTATTCATTACAATTATGTTAGTTAATAAATGATCTGATATTCTGAAAGCTTGTTAAAACCTCAACAATTGTTGTATGGAAACTTTATTTGCATGTTGCTTCGTTTCATAGTAAAACGTTAAGCTCTCAGTTTCGCTAGAAAAATTTTCATTTTTTGAAATTCCGTACTGGCCGGTATTTTCTAAATTGAAAGTCTCTATTTATAATAAAAATTTCAAAGAATTTTTTTTTTGCCACTAACAAAAAGTAAATGTTACAACTTGAAAAAAATGAAAATTCGCAATTCTTGGTCACGTTGAAAACCAATACATTTTTTTTTATTGTGTACGAAATAAAAATACTGGGACTATGATTCATATCGATCAACTTTCACTTTCCTGTTGCAACTTATGATCATTCAAATTTGAAAATGAAATTATATATGTGTCTTTTTGTCTTCTATTTATTTCCAACAAGCAAAGGTTAATATTAATTTTTTGTTTGTTACGATTGCATCACATAATCGACAGAGAATAAGAAATAAAAGAAAAAATATAGTATGAAACAATAAACAAGTACAAAGAGCAAACAAAGGAATTGGTTCACTGTGACCTTTTTTTTAATTCAATTAGAAAATAGAAAAAGAAATCGAAACATTAAGCGTAATCACGTACAAAATTATTTAATTTAGTACATGACGGTGTTGTTTGTTGATGAGCTTGACGATAGAGATTATTATCATTCATCATTCTTGCCCGCCATATCATTGATTCTTTATACTGTTGTTCACGATAACATTGATGTCGTATATCAGATATATATTCATCGATAACTGATGATTCGAATTTATCTAATTCGGCATCTGTTTTTGGTGGCTGAAAATCTGATTTAACGTAATATTGAATCTTTGATATTCGTGTCTCACGTAAATTAGTATATTTTCTAAAATAATAAGTGTAATACTAGAAAGAAAATAAGTTTAATACACATACCCAGTACGATGCAATTGAAATTGCGGTTCACTCACTAATAGTGTTCCGATAATTGAAATAAGAAATAAAAAAAAATACGGTAATAATTGGACAAATGTATGTGTTGTCTAAAAACAAGTCCAAGAAAGAAAACAAATTAATTTAATTCAAATAATGAAAAAAAAAACAAACATTTTGTGTTGAATGTGTTGTGAAATGGTATGTATTTGGTTGTTGACGGCGTCGATATGTACGAGTTGTTGGACCTATATGGTCATAAGTTTCCTTTTTCTTTTCTTTTTTATATGTAATATTTATCATACCAGAATAACCAAAGAAAAGATTAAATAATTCCTCTGCTGAAAAATCATCATCTCCATCACTATAATAGTAGTATTGCCGTCCACCGGTACTACTATGAGTATGTTGTGGTTCCATTGCTTGACCATATTGATCATATTGTTCACGTTTTTTTGGATCATTTAATATTGAAAAAGCTTTCCCAATAGCTATTAAAGAAATTAGAATTAAGAAAAATTTAGCTTTCGATTTTTTTTTCAGGATAGATTACCTTTGAAAGCTTCAGTAGCACCTGGTGCTTTACATTTGTCGGGATGAAACTAAATAAGAGAAAAATTAATCAATGAAAAAACAATGCTTCATTCTTTGCTTACTTGAAGAGCTAATTTTCTATAAGCTTTTTTTAAATCGGCTTCCGGTGATGTTTTACTAACACCAAGAATTTCGTATAAATCTTTGCATGCTTTGATTCTAATATGAAAAATAATAAAAATGAATATTAGCATTCTAATCAAATATAAAGAACGATAAACATGTCATATTAAATTTGGTGTTTAAATGTCACATTCTTTTATTTACGCATTAATCGCTTATTCTATTTGTCTGCTACTTGTCTCATACTAATAAGAGAGCTTCACAAATTGATATATCATTCTTGAAATAAGTCTTAACTCATTCAGTAAACTCTATTGAAACTAGAAAAAGTCTACAAGGATTCGTACAGATAGCTGTTTCTCACTCCGATCGAAGAACAGTCCTTGACAGTGAAATATAAAGCACTAGCGAGACCATATTTTTCTGTAAATACAGGATTAGTAATGTGATATCGTATACGGTCAGTAATATTGTATGTTTGATAACGATACTAGAAGGTATTAAAATGGTCGTTTCCGATAATACGTAGTATTTGACTTGGGGAGTAGTTTTTCTTTCAGAGTACAAACACACAGTGTATTGTGTAAAGAGAAAATTCCCTAGTTCAAATCTACGATTAATGTATGCTGCCAGCATATCAATTTGAGCTCATTCTAAACAAATCTTTTTGATAATAAAGCCCAAATACTTCATCGTATTTCACTGATGCTTAAGTCTTGAAGTTTGATGCAATATTTAGGATTTATTGCTAGACAGATTTATATAAAATGAATTCATACTAATATGCTGGTGACACATGTTATTTGTAGAGTTGAAATAATTCAAAGGTTCTAGAGGATAGCTATGATATAACCTTCGAGTACACAATTTTGAATTTTCCTACTTGATGTGGTGCGTTGGCGACAAAATTTCAGGAGAGTCAATCATCCAGCGCTACAAAACAATTGGCATTTCTCTTTAAGTCCCCCCCTCTCCTCAGAAGCCTTAATTTTTCGAAAAAAAAAACTCGATTTTGAGATTTATACATATTCTGATAGTGCTTGTAATGGAATACAACCTAGCATCATTTTTTTTGCCAAAACATATACATTGGTCTTTTTTCTGGCGAATTTTTTTTCTGAGAATGTGCTACTGAGACATAAAGGGTGTATCATAATAACTGAGGATACAGTGTTAATGATATTTTTCATACTTTTGTTTGACCAATCTCCCTCGGACAAAAAAAACGGCCTTTTTCCATTTCATTTTTGCATCACTTAATACGTTGTTTTAAAAAAACAAAATATACCAGGAGATGCAGCGTGAAAAGAACTATAATTTACAAAGTAAATCTTATTTTAATTCTGTACTTTTTGTTTTGAAAAAAAGCAAAATTGTGTGCGACCAATTTTCGACGCTGCGAAAAAATNCGTTTAGCAAATAAAATCATCTGTTTACTCGCAAGAAAATTATGAATTTCTTTTAATTTTGAAGCAAATTTTTTTACTTTTTGTCAAAATTTCATCTGAATGACAGACCATTTTTTCGATGTTATGCAGAAATGACTGGTTTCAAAATGATTTTGTCTGATACAATATCGAAGAGAAAGATGCCCCTCTGTCTCTTCTTTCGATTGGTGAAAACCGTAGGTGTCTAGCTGATTGCGTTCTTGAGTTATTCAAAAAACAGTGGGATGCATTATATTTTGAAACGGACATTAGTATATCAATTTTCATCATAGCAGATGTCAAACACTCATCTAGGCTAATGAATTAATGATTTACTAACGAAACATTTTTCTAACGAGGTAATCTTTTTCTGTTGTTATTGTAATTGACATCCTTTCTTTCTTTTTTTCTACAATACATTTGCTATATGTTAAAGTTATTGCTTTTGACTTGGATTGTTGTTTGAACGTGGCATTTTGTTTTTATAAGTTGCAACACTTTAAAGTTAAATCATTCTTGTAGCTTTCCAAATGTCAGAAAATAGTAATATCGAGAAAGAATATGTGAATAAGCGTGTAAGTGAATTTAGCGATAAAAAGATAATAATAAATTAACCATTTAGCAACAAAACAATAAAATCAAATCAAACGAGTGCTTCTTTCTCTATTTTTATTTTTAAGAGTTAATAAAGAAAAATAGCATAGATGTCAAGTCAGTATGAAACTTTAATGATTCGATCTCTCTCCGTAAAAAGATCAATAAAACTATAGAATATCATTGATAATGTTACTGTTCTTTCTATTTTGATTTATTTTTCTTGTGTCCTTTCTCTTCCTAAGCTTAAGAGATTGTTTCTCTAAAAAACATCATCTGCTTAAATAGACAAGAGAAGAGAGAGCATATTGATGTCAGAAGGCATTGTGTCTGAGATATAAGAGAGCTCAATACCAACATGAAAGTTAATGAATCAATTTGAGATTTCTAAAACATATTTTTCCATAATTGCCCATGATGTCATAGAAATTTGAGAAGCAAACATTTTAATACGCCGAAATATGTCATTGACGATCATTTATTACTAGCTTGCAGAAACACTACAATTTTAATACTTAAATAAAATGAACTGATCATATTAGATGATACTTAATGTATCGATTTTCTGTTTATTTTTCAGATACACTAAGATAAATTCTTCACATGTCAATGTTTCGTTAGAAAATTGTTTCAGATAATTTGAGGCTCTTTAGAAAATACAAAAAAAATCTAGCTGCCTACACCAGACAATGCAATGTTGGACTTGACATTGTTGATAATTATAAGAAAACTGTTATAGATAAGTTAAAAAATACCATTTTCTAATAATTTTTCTTCAACCTCAAAAAAATATAATAGTACTATATATAATATTTTACAAGTCGTGTAATTGAATAGAATGAATTGAGATAAAGTTCTTATTAAGGACTCATAAGGTATTTCCGAACAAGATTATTAGTGTAGAATTATGCAACATCGTTATCTTAGTAGGACGTTATGAGGAAAATGACAGTGAGCTGTATTTATCGGAATCATCACATCATAATTTGACTAGGTTAAGATCATTACTTCAACCATTTACTCAGGAAGTGTACCATTTGAGAAATAGAATCATAGGAAGTGATACTGTTACAGGATATCTTATTATATCATAGCCTACGAATTACAACAAATGAAAATATCGATTAATTCAGATAAAAGAAATCTAACGCAGATTTTAATGACATTCTCAACAGAAACAAAAGTTTAAAACCTTGAAAATCATGTTACAAGATATACCAGGTTTAATATATCAATAAAGAAAGCCTTCTTAACTCGTTTGATTGTGAAAAATTGTGTATACATTTCAGGACAGTGTGATACAGTAGATTTAACATGAGTATGCACCTGAGAATGAGAATAACTATTCGACGACAACAAACTAGAATATGCATTTGTGTATTCATCATCATATTCGTGGTGTTAATCGTTCAAACGGTACGCTACGCATTGCGACGTCGTTCTTCCATAAAGTATATAAATCAGATGGACCTCTCTCGATATGCGAATGTTACGTGGCCTCGACAGCGTGTACCTCGTGTAATCCATCAAACTTATCGTACGTATGATATACCTGCAATTTGGAATACATCGGTACAGTCGGTAATTACGATGAATGCTGGTGACTCTAAGTATCGTCGATGGTCGCATGCAGATATGGATGCGTTTGTTCAACAACATGAACCCCATTTCTATCGGAATACTTTTGTCAATTACCGATATGATATGCAGCGTATCGATTCGTTTCGATACGTATTAATGTTTTACTTAGGTGGTATCTACATCGACATGGACAACGGTTGTCATCGTCCTTTGCGTGAATTTGTAGCCACTATGGAGGCACTTGATCCAGACTCGCCTCATCTTGCTCTTTTTCCAGCTGAAGATACATTCGGTGTTCAAACCGATTTCGTAGTTAGTACTGCTGGTCATCCAATATATAAGCAGTTTATTTCACGATTGTCTCAGTTCAATCATAATTTTCTCATTCATCATATTACTATATTACTTAGTGCTGGTCCACTCTATGCTACTTTCCAAGAACGCTTTTTCCATCAGACAGACAAACAAGTTGTACGAATATTGGATAATCAGATCTATCGTTCCACGTTTTGGAAGACAAATGGAGGTACCTGGTTTGGTCGCGATACTTTAGTGATACTCTATGTTTTTTACCATAGAAATCGTATTTTGTGGTATAGCAAAATATTGGCTATTTGTCTTGCTGTTCTTTTTATTGTGATCAAGTTTTATAGAAAATGGTGAAAACGTTTTTTTTTAGGCTCCACCATCATACAAGCATATTGTTACCCATTCCTGAAAACTTTTCGACTATGATTGATTCGTTTAATAAACAGAGAAGTCCGATTATAATAGATTTTGCATGTTGATGAACAATCGCTGATGCTGGTTGAATATGAATCTTGACATTGGAATACACATGATTGATGAACATAAAACGAAGTCTGTAAACCAATAACTCTTTAATACAAAATTTTTCTTTTTTCTGTTTTATGGTTATGTTATCGCACGAATTTTCTCATATACTTCATTCTTGTCATTAGTCTTCAATTATAACTAGTCTTGAAATTCACTTCTTTTCACTTCGTTTGATTTTTTCTTTCGCTATGAGCTCATTTTGGTCAAACGCTCATAATCGTTTCGTCGGTGAATATCATCAGAGTTGTAATCAATAATAGTAAATGGCCAGTTCAGTCACATAAAAGACTTTTTACCAATTGGCCTAGTTTTTTCAAGTCTTTTTTTTGTAAACTCAGCAAGTTTTAGTGATGTCGAAAATTACTTCCATGAGATATTTATATTTAATACATCTTACTAAATCACACCCATATCAACTTACGTAATTGAAACAAAATCAAACAATTATTTAGCATTATAGTCTGTCATAGATTATTTTTATTACCTAATATTTATAGTAAATACATACTTTACACAAAACATAAAAGATAATAAAGTGAATATAACGTGTGAAGCATTCTTTGACAAAAATCTATCGGTAAGGTGATTATCTAATGTAAGTTCTATATAAATTTTATAAGATTATCAATCGGATAGCATTCCTATTTTTAGTGATAGGTCATGGCTCACGTGAAATGATTGCTACATAGAATTTGTAACCATATGAAGTTTTCTGCTCGTCGATAATAACCAAGAGTAAGAAATTTTCTCGAAATCAATAGTGAAAACGTAACAGTAATGTAACAGAACTCTTATGTTATGACAAGTCGAAATTTTCATTTGATTGTTATAGGCTTAGAATACTGAAAAATGATTCATGCTAGTATAGAGGCTAATTGAATCCATTCTAATTGTTTAGAGTCAGTATCGGTATCGGTGGGAAAAGAATTTGTTGGTCGCAATTCGTGACAAGTATAGATTTTCTCGTGTAAGACTAGCGACACTAATGCTATCGAAATTCATATTCACACAGACAAAAATTCTAAAAATATATCATTTGAATATCAGATTAGCTGAAGCGCTCTCTTTTATCTTCTCTTGCAGTTCATACACATTAGATGTTGACATTGATCGAAAAACAAACTGACTCGTATTTTCGGCATATACATCAATAAACTCATTTCAACTTGGATTTCAGCAATCGATCTGTCATTGGAACTATTTAAAGAATAAGTTATGTATTTCATATAAGTAATAATAGTAAAGAAAAATAATACGACAAAACATGATCAAGTACGGTTTGGGTGGGTGGGTGTGGGTGTGGGTGCGGGTATGGTATGAGTGTGACTTATATCGGATTTTATACCCACACCCACACCCTTCAATATGGAGGAGATTCTTACACTCACACACCTAACTAGAAACGAGACAAGTTTTAATATTATCATATAATAATTTATTTTAAAACATTTTATGATGACGCTAAATAATAGTTTATTGCAGCTTTCAAATCTCATGACTATTTAAAAATACTATAACTTCACAGTATTCTAGTCAGTTGATCTTAAAGTTCCCTGAAACCAATTTATTTCATTGTTTTTATTACGTGACATTGCATTATTAATGAATCATTATAAATAATTTTTTAGATTTCATTAATTCACATATACAAGATGAGTCACTTCAACAAGAAAAGAAGCAGAGACAAATTCTTATTATACAAAACCAAAGATTCGACAGATTATGAATATATCAAGAAAAAAAAACGAAGTGATCATTATATCACTGTATACTATTTCATTTAATTTATGATTTAAATTGCTTGTACACGTGTATAATACAAATTTGAACTTGTAAGTGATGCAAGATCAGATGATGCAGATGGACCATAGCGTTGTTGTTGTGAATATTGTCTAGTAACTGGTATTGAATCTACACTATCTGCAAGATAATCATTACTTGTATGACTTTTTGCTGGTGGAAACATAACATCATTATGATGAACTAATGGTTGTTGTGGTTTTATCGAAGATTTTAAACTATCAGTACAATGTGAATAGTGATGATCATTATTTTGTCGACGATGATGGGAAAAACAAAACATTAAGAAAAGAATAAAACCAAGAACAAACAAAGGAATGACAATTGCGTAGAGTAAAATATAATAATTATTGGTTGATATTATTTCACCTGAAATAAAAAGAAATGTATATAGAAAAATTATTCGAATAAAAAATTGTTCTTACTAATCACAGAGAGATTGTTCTAACAAGACATTATTTATATAAAGTATATAATCGTAGGTAAACATCTATCACAATCTGTGAAACGAGGACTCAAGTTTTTACTCCTATACTTTAACATTCCTTTTAGATTGTGTTTCACTAAAATAGGAATTAGAATATAAACGGATATATCTTTCAATTTCTAATTATTTATTAATATTTTTATCTAGTGGATAGAGACTGATTTTCACAAGAATCAATGTTCCATTCCACTATCCACAATACAAGACATTGAATCTAAAGTTCGGATTAATACCTTATCGTAAATGCAGTATGACTGTAATCGCTCGTATTATTTTGTACTTTATTTATCTTGTCAATAGTTTATAAATTCTATCTTAAAATATTATACTATTTTGAGAAAAGTTTCAAAGATTATTTCAAATAAAGAATGGACTGAGCTTTTCTCGGTAATATATTTGACTATTTTTTACGTATTTAAATGTATTGGTAGTGTAACAGAATCAAAATATTGTGCTCTTTCAAAACATGTACATAGAATTTTCCTGTCTCACTTTTGACTATTGAACTATAAGTAAATCTTGATAAGTTCTGTACATCTATAGTACTTGAGGATGATCTCTACTCGGTAAAAAATAGCATAAGAATGAACAGTGTGGGTCAAGCTTCTAAAAAATGGCCAAGCCGTGACGAAATGTCATTTTGTGCTAAGAAAGCAAAACAGAAAAAGTAATCATTTTTTTTTTGCAATAGGCTTGCTAAAAACCTTTATTACACATCAACAGTTTGCAAAACAGATTAATCATTTTTTACAGAATTGTTTTCTGTATTTGCAATATATTCGATAAAATTTAGCAGCATGCCTGAAACAAATACGCTTTGATTTTTTTTTCCCTTCAAAACAAAAATCAATGCATTTGACATTCACTTTTGTTTTACCTTTACGATTATCGATAATATTAATAAAAGCTGTTTTATAATTAGTAGCTTTATCATTTTGAATTAAACAAGTATATTGTCCACTTTCTTTTATATGTATTCGCGGAAAAATAAGTGCTTTCGAAAGAATATTATTCGAATATTGTTGTTGTGGATATTGTTCAATAGTTTCATATTGTTCCGAACCAAATACAATAGAATCAGGTCGAAATAATTGTTGATTATCAATTTTTTTTAACCATTGAATTTTTGTCGTTGGATCATTAGTTTGAACACGACAATTAAGTATTGCTGGTTTACCTATTTCAACAGTTATATTTTGAGGATCATTACCAAAAAATTGTAATTGTTCTAAGAAAAAAAAAAAATTATTTAAACACAAAATTTTTTTTCAATACCTGTAACAATAAGAATATATGTAGCATTGATTGTACCAAATGAATTAAATATTTCACATGTATAATTTCCAGTATCGGATTGACGTAAATCTTTAATATTTAATATTTGACTTCTACAAAAGTAAAATGAATAATCACTAATACAAACCAATATATATATGAGTAAATTGCAACTTTTTGGTACGATTGAAATATTATCTGTATTTGGCTAATAGTTTATGTTTCTCTTGACCAATTCTTTTTGTTGACATGTGCAAAGAAAAGGATTGTTTTTTTTTGACTGTGAAAAAGCAACAGAAAAATTTTGTAACTATTTAGTTTGTTTTGCACAATTTTCGACGCTTTATCAAAATATGTAGCTAATTTATATTTCATTTCTTCTTAGTTCCTCCATCCGACGTTCACAATGTTTGACAGGCACTTGTATGTTGCCATTATACTCAATTTGTAGAGTGACAATATTTTCAGCACATATTTCTAATTAAACTTATACGAGAATTTTTTCGGGTATAACTTAAATGAACAGAATAAGGCAAGTAAATTCTAGTGTACAATAGCCTTTTTTGTGCCTTTCTGCTCTTTCTACAGGGTTGGAAAATGACTCGAAATTTTCAATGAGTAAAACAGAAAATTATTGCCACTTAACATACATAGAATATAATAACATATGCGACTCAGAAGTCGTTTAAACCTACTTTCAGTTTTTCAAGTTAATCGTACCGAAAACTTGCAATTCACCCATATATGTACAGAAATAACTTACTGAGTTATACCGTATTCATCTTCAGATAATATTTTACCATTTTTTTTCCATCTTATTTCTGGTGATGGTTTACCAGATGCTAAACATTTTAATTGAACAGTTGTACCTTCTGGTTGAATAACTTTAGTCGATTCAATTTGACTTCGTTNATCTTTTATTCAAATATCTATATTTCATGTGAAAATAAGTTGAAGACAGAATTACATATGATTTAGCTCATCATTCAATCTACCGAAAAAAATCACAAGAGAAATAAAGAATCTTTTAACATTAGATATACAGACCGAAAGTTAATTGAGAAAAAAATCGATTTCTTTAGCGGCTGAAAATTGAAAAAACTTGACTAGAAAACACTATAATAATTTAAGTTGAAGAGATATATTGTAGCAAATAGATTTGGAATAAATCTATTTAAACATGCATCAAGATTATTGATAGTTTGTTCACTATTGCTTATAGACGAAGAACTTCATGTCCTTGCATATTTGACTCAGAATTGGTTCTTCATTAAATTCATCTATTGTAATGAATGTAATACAAAACACAGCATTATGTGATTTGAATAATGTTCCATTAAGATTTGCTTTTCTGATCTTGAATGATGAGCTAAATCATATGTAATTCTGTCTTCAACTTATTTTCACATGAAATATAGATATTTGAATAAAAGATTTTTAATCATAGTCGTGCGATCATTTTGTATATGACGAAGATTTTCATATATATTAGTTAAACAAAATAAATCAAGACTATTTTCACGAGAGAATCCGAACAATAATATCCGATTTGTTGAATTGTATTTAGTCAATGAATTCGATACGAGAAAAAAATAATAAAGGACTAAAATAGTCTTCTTGTAAAGATTTTCAAATTAGAAAGATTTTATCAAGTCGATGGCTTTTTTATATTCATATTTTTAACAAAGAGTTAATAATAACGATAATGAAACGAAATATATCAGATAATCAAACGTCAAATTTATCATTGATAAAGTAACACAGTATTGCCTCATGTGTTAGATAAGCAGGATTTTATTATGACTCAAATACTCAATAGTTATATATATGCTATGAGAAGTTTTGAGATGTTTCACATGAGAATCAAACTGAATAAGATTTCTTAATTTCACTCTTTTGTTTTTATTTACAACGATAAAACAGGAAAAAAAATGATTCTATTTTTAAAATCGTGCTGTTGGTATAAACGCATGTCTAAATGAATTTGTTCTGTTCATTCGTTGTGGTTCGATGATATCCGATCGCATAGTTGTACTTCTTAACATATCAAGTACAGGTGTTTTTCTTAATCGAGAATCTAATGTTATACCAATATTAATTCGTGGACTTCGTATTTGATTCATTGTATTATTCATCTTTTGATCCTCTGTATTCGGCATATCGTTATTAGAATTCTCCCTTTCATATGTTAAAGATTTCGAACATAGTTGTAAAGATTTATTTGATATAGGTGTTGATGTATTATGAATAGGTTGTTGAGAAAGAATTTTGGTTGGCTTCGATGGTGAAAATAATGATTGATCGGTTAATGGAGCTGATTTTGGTCGTGATGTTATTGATATTATATTTGGCCTTTCAGATTGAGCAACGTTTTCTTTGAATCTATGTGAATGAACAGATTGTTGTTGTTGTTTTTTTAACAAAAATGCATTAAGATAACCATATATCGATGAATTCGTTACTGCTTTTGATTGTATACTTGGAGAATCGACTCCATAGGATGTATCATAATCATTATTACTTGAATCTTTTAATATTGATGATTTGAAACAATTCGTTGAAAATGAATGGATTTTATTCGATTTTTCAATATTATTCATTGATGAATAATATCGATTATTATGATTTGTGATATTTGATAGACGTGGTTCACTAATATATAACGATGGTTTCAATTGTGGACATTTTAGAGAAACATAAGGAAGTACTAGAAAAAAAAAGAGATGATTCATTAATTTGAAAAGTCAAGATTTTTGTACTGTTGACTTAAAATCTAAAATATTCTCAAGATAGATGCTTCATGACTTCTTGTCAGAGTCTGTCGGATGCATTTCAGATTCAGACTTAGCTGAGTCGGAGTCGGAGTCTTGGTTTGAAACTATAATTGATGCATATAATAAAGCTAATCGAGTTTTTTTTTATTTGAATTTGACAAACTATATTCGCAAAACTATGATGACTGAATATGAATCAGTTTCAACTTTTAACTCATACATTAGTACTAGTTAATTGGCAGTAGTGCATGTCTAATGATGACAATGACTTGTTTATATTGGCATTGACAACTTGTAAGACGTTAAGGTATACAATTGCCAAGTTCAATCAAGACGAAATTCAAAATAATGAGTAAAAAGAAGAAATGTCTTCTAACTCTCCTTCGAAGACAATGATATAAAATAAAATAATCATCAATTGTCTTCTAACAAAGTCTATTGATAATGTGTTTATGTTTAAAAACTAAAACCATTGATAACAAGCTGTATTATAATAATACCAATTCTAACCTGTTCTTTGTTGCTGTTTTAATCGATAATCAATTTCACTTTTTTTTGCTGATCGAACTGATATATTGTTCTTTGAAGTAACATGATTATGATGAATTGTCGATTTTATTGTATTTAATTCATTTGATGATAATGAACTACATTGAGCAGAGTCATTTGATGAATAACTTTGACCATCAATATCATTATTTATTGGATAAATTTGTGATATATTTAAATTAAATAATTGCATTGATGGATCACTACTATCACCAAAACCACTATCATTTGTATGAATGGATGGTTTTAACGATATGCATTCTTTTCCATTTGATGATATATTATGTAAATATAAATGAAGAAGATTTCCATCTGGATCATAAATATAATATTCATATTTATTTATTGAAAATAATTTACTTGTATATTCGTGAATAAAATAATTTAAATTATTTAATCTAAATTTTAAATAAGCTCCTTGAGATATTGCATATGATTGAATTGATGGAGAATATTTAATAGAAAATTGATAAAGTAATTTATTATTAGTTGATGATGATGATAAATTAAAAAGTACAAAACCAGTTTTACTTGAATCAGGTTTACGTTGAAATAAATGTTTATAAAATTTTAACATTAAATCAAAATTTTTTGTAAATATATTAAAACGTATAATTATATGTCGATTATATGGAATATGTGATATGGACCATAATGGTAATAAATGAGATAATTCATAATAATCTTGTCTTGCTATGATTTGTTTATATTCATCTAATAATTCAATTTTATGATGAAAATTCCATATATGTGTAGATTTAAAAAAATCTTTTTTTTCAGTTTTTTTAAGAATTTCATCAGTTAAAAAAATAACACAACTTAATGATTGACATTGAATTGGAATTTTCGATGTTAATGAATGTGTTGTAAACGAACCAAAATATGTTGTTGGCTGAATTTGACGTTCAACAGAAACAAATTGTTGATTAGTTATTGAACATGAACGTAGAAGACTGGCTATAGCTGTTGAAATTTCATCATATTCATTACAACCAATTTTTAATATAAGTTCACATGGACAAATATGATCAGTAGTCATCTAGAATAAATTAAGTGTTTTGTTTCTTTTGTGTTATTAGAATATAATAAATAAAATTTTCTAGTTAAAATCTCTCTATTATTTATCGGTAAATGATTATATGCTGTCTGTTAATTGAGTAACAGAAGCATTTTTCTAGTTGTATTGTAGACAATTGAAAACAATAGGATACTACTCATATGTATACATATACATATGTCTGACTGGTTGACCAACAGCCACCTTCAAGTTTTGTTCATGATGCGTGATGTGCTAATTGTAGACAAGAGAAGAGGAAAAGAAAAAGAAATATATTTTATATAGTCGCTCCTCGATTGATGTTAAAAAAGATTGATCAATCGTTGCTCGATTGTTCATATTTAATCGAATTGAGCCAGAGTGTTGGCGTAAATGTATAAAAACTAATGTTCTATTGTCAACTATTTTTTTTCATTCATCTTATATATCATAATGAAATAACAAATTTCATTTATTCTGTCTATTAACTAATTGAAAAAAGAAAAGAAAAGAAATATGAATATAATACTCAATGGAGTTTCTTTCGATGATTATTGTGTGATCTATTGTTTATCTAACCTTATTTCTTAATGTAAATGTATGATTAGTACTTCTATATGAATCACATTCGAAAAATCACAAATGAATGTGATGAGTCTTTATAACAAATGACAAGCAGGAAATATATGAGTAGGAGGAAATCGATAAAAAAAGTTCAATGCTAAACTCTTACACGTATAATTATTGATACACTTGGCATTCATCTATTTCTACTTATCGAAATATTGTATAGTAATATGTGTAATTGTAAAAATATTAATGATTGCCTTTCGTTCATGTTCTATCGAACTTAATGTTTAATCATTTCACGTCTACTGTATCAATCAATCTTCTCTTTCTCTTTTGCTGCTTCAACTTATTTTATTGTACAAAGGCGCAAGCATATCTAAAAGAAAAATAATGCACACACACACACTCAATACCTGTGCTTCTGTTCTACTACTTAGCGCTCGTCTACGATTATAGTAGTACTGAACACTCAACTTTATTCAATAGTACACGTTTCGTTTTAAGAGAAGAGAAAAGATGGAAGAATTCAGCCATTGAATATGGCAGTCGCTAACATGATATGCTTCTTGTCATCAGCATCACAATCACAATATCAAATATTGAGACTAGTCAAATATAACAATAAAATAAACAAAGACGAGTATACATGACTATCAATAGAAGAAGATATTCAAGATTTAACCTTCTTAGTAAAACAAGAAAATAAAACGACTAGGTTATTTTAACATATGGAATAATGAATAGATGAATTAATTTTTATTTGATCTTTTATGCAGTATAGACTACAACGTCTACATCGTGTTTTAATAAAAGATGATTCTTAAAAAAAACATTTTCTATGATAAAATTTGTTTTTGGCTTTTTTTTTGTGGAGAAAAGTATAATTGTTTACACACCTGTATTAGTTAGTTATTTTTTTATGTGCTAGTTATTCGAACAACATGCTTCATTGTTTGTTGAATGATGCTTCTCTTTTACAATACAAGTATACCATAACATTGTTACATAAGTCTTGTACAAAAAAGCTAAATGCGAACACACGTTTATGTCTGTTTGTTCCACCTGCCACTAATGTCTCTCTTTTCTTTTTTTCTTCATTTTATGTAATACCATATACTGAAGAGAGTCGATCACTCATCATCTATTTCATGTGATTTATTTTACACAAGAAAAAGAGAACAGATTATTTGCGCTTAGTAACGAGCACTATGTAGACAAGTTTTTTTTGCTCATATGTATGAATATATATGTATATGAAAGAATAAAAATGGACTTTGGTAATTTAAAATAAACACAATTAGTATAATTGACACGATATCTAATGAGTATACATTTAAAATTGGAAATTTTTTTTTTTGAAGAAGAAGAAAAAAGATAAAATGCATAAAATGATATTTCTATCTGTTCAGTGAATCATCATTCATTTTTCTTTTGTAACTATTAATGTTTGATTTAAGCTTCATGAAACCTATGTATATTATTACAATGAATTCTAAATAACACGCGATACATCCTTAAGATGACACTTATGGTTGAACGACGACCATATGTCGATTACACAAGAGTATATCATAAAAAGTTCATCCGCTTCAATTGAATCAATCAAGAACAACTGCTTATTCTCTACTTATCAGAGTATATGATAGTTGTAATTATCTATCTATATTTGTTCATCTAGTTCAAGAATAATAAAACAATTCTCGCCTATATTACTATCTTCAATTTTCTTTTAAAACTATCTATAAAATTTTTCTGTTTTTATAAACATGAAATTTCCATCTGTGAAAATAATGAGTTTATCATACTTGTTTATTAAGATTATTCTAACAGGACATTGGAAACAGTATTCTGCTACGAATGTATTACAAGTACTTAGGCAAATAACCTGCTCAAAATTGTTTCTATACGTGTGATGGGTAATTGAGAATGTCTGTAAGGTACTTAATCAACTATTTGGTACTTATCTAAAGTCCTACATTGAAAATATTTTCACAAGTTAGCTAATGAAGTCATTAGATGCATCTTATTTTCAAGTATTCATCAAATGTCTGAAAGTATGCAAGTACTGAAAAATATTCATAACATATTGGTGACATGGTGCATCCATTTGGATATTCTAAATTCAATGTTTTCACTAGTGTTCGAACTGAAATCCATAGACTTTGCTGTATCTTAGTTTTATGCTGTCGATAGTTAGTATTTATTATAGGATTACATTTCATTTTGTTTTGCTTTTCGATATCAATACTTTGAATAAAATTATTGATGCTAGAATAATATGTTTTGTCATGATACAAATAATCATATTGTCAGATCTTATTTCCTTATTTTATCATGTATGGAAAAAAACGAACTCTATCCTTTTATAAAAAAAAACCAAAAATATTCAAATTTTTGCACTATAATGAAGATAAATAATCTGATATAGTTAAGGTCAGGTTGAAAGTTGATATTACTCGACTAATTTTTTATTTGTGCCAAACAATTTTTACAGAGGAGTATTGGTGTCATATACCGTTAAAACGACGATTAATCCTTATTCTAATAAAATATTAGTTGTGATCATCATTATATAATAAATCCTTGTATTTACAAAGAATAAAATCCTTGTCTAGAAATATTTGTATAGTATCAGAAGATTTGCCATATATGTATATATAGAGAGAGAAACTAAAAGATCCTGACTCGCCTTAATTTTTTCGATTGATATTCTGCTATCAGAATGTTTAACACACGATTGATTCTGCTTGTTATAAGTATCTTTGCTTGCATACTTATACAGACCAGATGCAATGCTCAATATAGTAAGATTTTATAGACCATAAATTTAATTTTAATCATGAATATTTTTTATTGCTAGATAATCTTAATGAAACAACTGGTTGTCCATTGAATACCAATCATGACTGTGAAATATGTGCTCCAGATCAAAATCGTTTAGGATGTTATTGTGAGCTAAAGAATGGTGATGTAATTATAACTGCTAGTATACTCACACCATGTCCAATTGGTAGGAATACAACTAAAATATTAAAAAAAAAAAACTAAATTTATATTCATTGATTTTGAATAGAAAATGAAGATCCTTGCAGTAATCATTCATGTAAAAATGGAGCTACATGTGTTGGGGAAGGTTTTACTAGTTATAAATGCAATTGTACTCAAGGTTATGGTGGTCGATTGTGTGATGAAACATTATCAAGT